AAAAAAAAGAGACATTTAAGACTTGCGGGTTGAAAGCAAGTGCTTACCGAAAACACAAAACTACTGATGAGCTGGAAACAATTAGAACGATTTTTTGCCTACACAACAATTTCCATCTATTGACTTCAATTGAAAAAGAACTAAAATCATAAAATTTCTACAAATAAATGTTTAGAAGAATAAAATTTTTTAACAATTACAATACATGCCCAGCAGAAATGTAAAAACAGAAAAAAAAACCGTAAATGTTTTTAAATAGTGTAATTTGATCAAAAATAATATCCAATTCAGTAAGTTCAAAACAACAACTTTTGTTTTTTATCAACTAAAAGTTCAACAAAAAAATTCCAGTTGGTAAAAAATTCCAAGAAAAAAAAATAAATAAAACTGTCATCAATTTACCAACAACAATAACAATAAATAAAATAAAAGATAAAAAAGAAAGCCATTTATAAATATCACAACAGCAAAAAATTTTTCCACTGCAAAAAACAACAAAAATGCAATGAATATCTGAAAATAACGTGTAGAACAAACTGTTAATAGTTTTAAAGCATTAACTACCAGCGTATCAACATCCAAGGCACTGCGTATCATCCAAATATCGAAATACCAAACGGCTTAGTTTCGTTTTTCTTAATCATTTTCTATCTGGCCAACAATTAAATTGTAATAAAGTTTTTCGCCATCACTTACCAACATCCTTTTAAATCCGTAATTTTCAATTTCACTGATTTTTAAAAATTTTTAAAAAAGCTTAAAAAAGCCAAAAAATCTGAATCTTTGATCCAAAAGAAAAAAACCAGCAACAGCTATTTTCACTTACAATATTTCACAGAAACAACTTGAAATTGAGATGGAAAAAAAAGAAAAATAAAACAGTACACAAAGCTGAGAACAAAGATTCTACGACAAAGAAATACAAAACGTAAAAAAGACCGGAAATAGAAGAAAAAACAACAATAAAAGCGAAATCAAGAGGTTTTTATCACAGTTCGAGATCAGCACAATGCTTCCAACCTGTTTTCAAACACTTATCAAATTCATTTTACTAAAAAACAAGCAAAAAAGAAAAAACAACTACTTAATAACGCTAAAAGCAAAAAGAAATTTATGTACACAGTTATTCTTGTTGCTTTTCCAGCAATAAGCCACTTAAACAAATCCTTAAAATCAAAAAAAAAAGAAAAGAAAAAAAAAAAAACAAGAATCCATAAAATATGATTCGCTTCATTGATCAAGACACACATCTTCTGTTGTTTTGCCTTTCCAGTAGCTGCTTTCGACTTTGACTGAAGTTTTCCCGATTTCTTTACCAAATTCGTGCTCAATTAATCTGCTGTTGTCTGATTTGATGGTTTTATATTTTACTGTGGTGGTGACGGTGGAGGTGGTTTTCGAAAAGCACGATTGTTGCTACCAAGAATTTCCCATTCATCCGTTTGAATGTATCCCTTTTTTGCTCGCTCAATCGCTTCGTCCGAATAGTACCGTGTAAATACCATCTCATCTGCACAAACGCTCATTGCTTCATAGGTGTGCAACAATAGCTAAACAACATCTATCAAATTCAAACAAAAAGATATAGGTTCTTTTTCTCTCCTTCTTGCCCGCTACCTCCTGCTTTATATAATTGATTTTGAATACAACAAATCAGATGCCGCTTATCAAAAAACCGACGGTAATCGATCAATTACGACGTTAAGACAAGCCGTAAGTGCACTCTAAATAATAATAATAATGTTAGGGATAACACTCAATTATTTGTTTTCTTTTTGTCCTACAACAACATTTCTAATTAGTTTTAAGTGTAAAGTGATTATATGAAATAAAACTATATCGAGTATCCTCTTCAATCGGTGTTTTGGTTATTCCTAGTAACATGTATCAGTAATTTAAAAAAAACTTTAAAGGACCTCTTCCGTTAATCGCCGTTCCAATTTGAGGATCAAAAAATTGCAAGAAAGTAAAGCTCAGAAAAAAACGACGAAAGAAACAAACTACTTACAAATACATTTCAAAACTTCTCCTTACTACATTCAGTCTTCAATTTTTAGTTCGCACACTTTTTTAAGCAAATTGAACATCGAAAGAGATAACGTAATTGTTTTTAAGGAACCTGCAACCTGTTTGATGTCACCCTACTCCGGGTCTGAGAAGAAAACACATTTAACAACACTTTTACGACGCTGTACACTTTTATTGAACTCATATCCCAGTGCCAAATCTAACCACTATAGAAATTATAAAAACTGAATTAGCAACATATGCTGATGCTTAATTACCTAATTGTTCACAAATAAAGTCGTCCAGAAGTAAAATTGTTAACCTGGGGAAAACGATCGGTGAAATATGTGACAAACTGGTTCGGAATCTCCCCTAAAGATTCTCGTACCGGCTCCGGTAATTCTCTGTAATGATGCTTTTTGTTTCGCATCGCACGCAGTAAATCTCGTACAGAACTCCCCTTGTACGTCCGAAACTTTCTCAGATCTAAAACCATGGCACTTG